AGGATGGAGCCATATTCTTCCTCACAGTGTGCAGCAAAAAGACAAAGGGCAAAAATCAGAAGTGGTTGCAAGGCAGTCCTAAAAAAATATTCATTGCAGTGACGGTGATTAACACTGGGACAAATTATCCAAAAGGTTGTGGAATTGCTCTGGATAGAAATATTCAAACCTTGACTAGGGAAGTTCCTATATAAACAGGTCTAAATTTGAAGCTGGTCCTGTTCTGGATAGAATTTTTGGTGAGGTGATCCACAGATTACCCTTGAAATCAAAATTATTCCATTTATCTGTGACTGACAATAAAATTCCAAGATGACTGTATGTTTGCTGTCTTTCCTGAAAAGGTATTGGTACCGCCAGCCATATGGTTGACTGTAAGGTTTAATGCCTGGTTTAGCATTAAACAGGGAGGTTGGTGGCCCTGCATGTGGCAAGGGGGTTGGAGATTCATGATCCTTGAGGTCCATTCCAACCCTGGCCATTCTGTGTGATTCTGTGATTTAGAAATATGATTTTAGTCTGTTATGAAGTCAGTATGGATGCGTGGAACTAACTGGACTTTGGGATGACACTCAGCACTATACCATGTTGACAACAGGCCATCTTAAGCATCATCTGTATGTATACAGAATATAACACTTAGAATTTCAAAGATTAATCTGCTTAACTTTCATTGAGGGATTTACCCACATTGCACAGTAAAATAGAGAAAGGACAGCCCATCTACTGACTGTCCTCTCCTTGCAGAAATCTGCACTTTCGTGTATCTTCTGCTGGAGGCAAGCAAACTGCTGCCAATTCTTCTAAAATTTCTAACTCCTGTTCTCTTTTCTATCAGCTAAAGAGATGTTTATATGCAAGAGGCCTGCATTCATTAGCTTGCCCGTGCTTGTATTTTCTGCATCAGTATGGGCTGGAACTGCAGAGTGTGAGCATTGTGCCATGCAGGGGCCCATAGCTCACTTCCAGATCCACGAATGTCTTGCACCCCTTATGTCCAGCATTTGTACTCCTGTGTATGCTTGAACTGCGTCAGGTAGTGCAGAATCACCGTTATGTATGGTCAGCAAAATTCAGAGCAGCTGTAGATGCTTGCAGCTATGATGAGGTTGAACCTGAAATGGAAAATTCAGTTCCCGACATATAGTAAACAGTTAAATCTTCCACTGGTTTAATTACCAGAATACACTAACATTGATACAATTATTCTTTTTCATATAGAGTGTTGATCAAACCCTGTCTTTTAGCCTTCAAAATATGGTCAGGGGTAATCAGCATTCTCCTGTACTGCTTAATGATATTGCAATAAGCAGTTTGTTAAATATACCTGAAAACTCTGGGAGCTGCCCAAATCTTTCTCTTGGGAGCTGGGGAAAAGATGCTGTGATTAGGATTTAATTCAGAATCACAATGCCAAGATGAACCTCTTCAGTATGGAAACTACTATTTCAGAAGAACGAGAGATCAGAATTTCAGTGGGATTGTAACTGCCTGCATGAAACAAGGTTCACAATATATGGGCCTATTATAGACTGGCAAACCAATTATCAGCTGTGGTATGGGTCAAGTAGCAAAAGCAGGCCAAACCATCACTGTCATACATGGACATAGCTTCACTGAAATCAATGGAATTGAACAGCTTATTCCAGTGATAAATAATATGCTGCAAGTTTCACCAGCTCTTAAAGAAGGTTTAATAAGAAAAGCTTTCACTGCAATGACTTAAATAACGCCACGTAAAGCATGAGGGAAAATCTCATTTGTTACAGAGGGGGAAGAATGTGAATGTAGATCTGAATTATGCTGTGAAATGAAAGAATGTGCAGCATTTGCATGCAACAGACACCTTGGTTCCCAGTTGAAGAAGAGAGGAAGAGTTATACTGTTTTTTTTTTTTTTTTTTTTAGCAGAGAGAATACTTTGTATTAGCAGCTACTCTAGAAGGTATTCCATCTACTCAGAATATTCATGTGTGCCATGAGCAAGGTCTGGTGCACTGAAACTTGCTGGCTGCAATCCCAGAACCTTTCGAGGAATTGTACATGGATGCCTGCAGTAATTTATTGGCCACTGTTTGCAAACTCCTGAGAAATGACATTCCTGAGCTCAAACTTTGTTTAACTTCTTCCTAGAGCATTGATAATTACAAGGTATTGTTAGGGACATGGTGCTACTTGCTTGATATTGGGAATCTGCTTGGCAATGGATGGCAGAAACATTCCATTAAGACTTGTGGTCTCATCTTGCTGCTCCCTTTCTACAGAACAGTTTGGCAGTGCTAGCAAGTGTTTATTTATTTAACCTGAAAGTCGCCAGATGTTATTACAAGAATGTCCCATCTGATTAATTTCTCCTGATAGCCAAAGGCTTCTTGCATACTGTTTCTCAAAAAGAACATGATCTAAGGCAGGTGTAGTCCTGCTCATTACCAGAATGAATCCACATATGTTATGAGGTCTATTTATGAAAAACATGTATTTCTAAAGATGACTCCTTACTTTATGTAGACATTAGGATCTAATTCTATGATAGGTATTGAATTCTTTCTCTTACCAAATTACTGTGACACTTGAGGTCAACTACAACATATTGGTGTAAAGCAAAAGGAATTATTTAAGGGATGTACTTTGAAAGAACCTGATTTTTTAAGTCTAGAATAAGCCTAAGGCTGTAGATGACCCTGCCTTCAGCAGGGAGGTTGGATTAGGCAATCTCTTGGTGCTTTCCCACTTCATCTAATCAGTGATCCTGTTAGTTCCAGCTTTCCTAAAATACTGTATTTATTTCCTTAATCTCGATTCTTATCTCAGTGGATTACTGAATGGAAAATGAAGAAGTACAATTTAAATGTCATTTATTATATATTTCTGTCATCAGAATTGTCATTCAGCAATACCACCTCTTAAACTCAATTTTCTGGCACAATTTGGTATGAGTAGAGAGTTGGATAGGATCTCATTAGATTCGTTTATATAATTTATACGACATGTTCTGAAAATACTGTGAGAGACAAGCAGAGATTACATCAAATTTTTCTAATCTGCTCCATAGCTGTTCTGAGTAAGGATAAGGAATAAAACTCAAGCTGGAACTAGAAGCAGAAACGATAGATATCTGAAATAAAGGATGACTTAATCTATTGCTCTTTTTGCTGCAAGGTTATCTCAGCATCTATAAACATTCCCCAGAGATCTACAGTGTTTGTGTTTAAAATATACCAAGCAGTTCCAATTTAAAGACTTGTTAAAACTATTCCCTGCTCCTGACATCATTCAAGAACAACCCTTTAATCTTCTCAATAGTTAATGACTAAATAAAAATTCTTAACTGATTTTTTTAAAGCTGATTGTGCTGAGGCACTTTTGTCCAGAGGGCTGCTAACACTCAGAGAGTTTGGCCTTTACTTTGAAGGCAAAAGGAAAAAGGAAAAACTGTTACAAAACTTTTTTTGGTGCTTATTTCTGTTTCCAAGACAAAACAAATTTTAATAAAATAAATCAAGAGGTATTAAAATAATAACTAGAAAAATCTTCATACTTTTATGTTTTGAAAGACAAGACAAATTAAATTTATGCTAAATGAAAAAAACTTTTATAGATCTGAATTTTCTGGGCACTACCAGGAGATCAGATTGATACCTGTATCCAACATGATCAGCCTACATAAAACAGCAAATGGTATTTTATATGTTTGTGGTCATGTGCATTTATATGGGGTACACAGTCACATATGCTCTTAGAATCACATGAAATTTGGAGAGCAGAACGAAGTTGCTAATTATCTTCTATTAAAATTAAAACAGACCTTTGACTTCTTTTGGATATATGTCTTCAGAGCTGCGTCCAGCCTCCCTGTTTCAAAGACCCCTAAATGAGATCAAATTGATCTCAAAAGCGATACAGTTGCAGACAGGTGACACAGCACAGAATATGGGGCGCTGTGGTTGTCTGAAACTTTTGATGAGCTAATGTGGAATTAAGCAAGGTAATCCAGCTTTCAGTAGATGGATGCTCAGGGCTTTATCGCAGATGTCTTTGAAATGCTGAGCCAAAAACCAGAGATGGTCACCACCTTTGAAAAGCTGCAGCCTAAATCGGCTGTACAGCTAATATCCTGTACGTGCTTGCAATCATTCTGCTGCACCAAGGTCAGCAGGCGTAGGAGAGCCAACAACTTCACCACTTACACTCAGGATAGTGTGGCCACATGTCAAGTGCCAACCAGGAATGCCATTTGGCTTCTGTCAACTCCTGATTCATGCCCAGCAGTGATGTGGGAGAATGACACATGGCCTGGGCCAAAACTAAGCAGAGACCATGCTGACAATTTAGATGATTATCAGTAGTGGCTTTTTTTATTGTTATGGGTTTGCTATCTTATCATCTCTTTACTTCACCATTTGGTGGATTATTTGAACTAACAGAAGGAAACAAGAAACATAACCCAGAAATGTGTTCTTTGCTCAATTACAGACAAGGATGTTAAGCCACAGTCATGTTTGCTGGCAACATAATGAAAAACAGCAAGATGCTCACATCCTAAAAAAACAGCTGCATGTACAGGTGTCTGCAGCAGATGCCTCCCTAAGCACAATGTGATAAAAGTGATTATTTCTTACTCAACAAAGAACAATCCCAAACAGGGTATTTAACGGAGGATGATAGTGCAGGTAATTAGGAGCCCCATGCCTTACACATAAAGTAATGTTTAAGAGAGTGAAGCTGAGAACCATCTGTACTTTACACATGGGTCTGTGTTTGTGTTTGCAATCAGTTGTGGGCAGTTTTCAACCTGATTCCTCAGATTTCTAAGCTGATATCCTACTCAGTAAGGTTTAAATGTCTTATTCCTGATTTTAACTGATGGCACCTTGCCCTGTAACTCAAAAAAAAAAAAAAAAAAGGCAACAGAATGTCATATTTGAACAAAGGACATTTCTAAGAGGAGCAAAGGAATAACCTGCTTTTCCCATGAGAGATGTACTCTGTGGTTTTTCCTACCTTTGGACTTCCTATCATGGTAGCTCCTGCCTCGATAATGGTGGCCACTTTCTGTGTACAAATTCTCGAGATCTTCTTTCCACGAGTCTGGATTGAAGTGTTTAAGCAGATCTTCCACAGTGTCAAATGCAGCAATAGTCTGATCCAGGGCCTCTGCTGTGAGCGTAGGGTCGGTCACTGATGGAGAGGGATATGAGACCCCCTAAGAGTGACATACATCTCAGTGTACTTGGAAAAATTACACCACCATACAAAACAATTAACAACATTCCCATTTCATTCAGCTACTTTGGGCCATCTTTTGAAGTTCTTAGCTGGGTCAGGCAGCATTATGACTGTGTTCTATTTTGCAAGGAGAAGAGACACCAAACTCTCAATGGAATCCAGGAGGAGACAGTACTGATGGACTGACAACTTAAACTTTCCTCAAAGAGGATGGTGGTTTGCATATGTGCCAAGAAATAAGGGAAATGCCTTTTGAAATGACTGGGATGGCCATGACCACAGCACAGAGATGCCTTACAGAGCTGGGTTGATGCCTTTGCCAGTCTGCCAGCTCTGTTGGTAAATCTGTAAGACGCAGTTCAGAAACTGCAGCAGAAAAAGACAAAGCCAACAACTCCTCTAGATTTTGTGTCCCCCTTCCGGCTCAGTTAAGACTTGAAAAGATGGCTTTTAATATTCCCAAGAATTATATGTTATGAAGTACTGATAAATTCTTCCACTCATATAAAAAAACATGCTTAAAAAAATGAAAACATGATATTTGGATCTCAGTAACGTAGTAATGAATATTAGGATTACCAACATTGTGTTATCCTCACAATAATATAATACCAAATAGAACATTATTTCTAAGCAGGAAGGGCCAACTACCACTTTTTGAGCATACCTGCCTCCCAGTAAATTTGTAGCACAGTTTGACTTTACAGAAAGACTGCAATTACTTCATTTTTACTGGAATTAACTTTAAAATTTCTTCTTGTGTGATTTAGAAACACAGTATTCAGAACCCTGATGGCACGTTTTTTCTTGTCGAAACACACCTCCTAATATTTGTGTAAAATATGCAAAAGAAAAGCTAATAATGCACATTTGTCAATTTCTGGAGAACCACAATAAGAATAGTTGTTTTTCTCCAGTAAAATGCCTATTATAACACAAAAGTTTTCTTTGGATTTTTGTTTGATAAGTCAAATTATCAGGGCAAAGCACTGGAAATTGAAGAAACTTTCTTCTGAAAACTCAGCCATGAAGCAATGTAGTAGAAATATGATATTTAAAATAAATATTCCCCCCCCCAATTTTTTTTTGCCTGATCTCTCAAGAAAATACATATGTTAAACCATTAATCTCTGTGATTAACTTAACTCAGTTGAGTAGTAATGAAAGGCTCATCTCATCTCATATGTTACTCATACGTTTGCAGGACTGAATTCTTCAAGAGTTGCTAGAATAGTTTTTGAAATAATCATTTGTTTTGTCTTTGCCTGTTAGTTGTATCACAAAACGTATCATCCTTAATATTTTATTGCTTTTGATTTTTCAAAATATGGACAGTCTGAAATATTATGTACAAGAAAGAGAATAAATTGAAAGCATTACAATAGCATGGTCAAGAAAGCCAGGCTCTACCTTGCTGCTTATCATCAATAGCAGAAGAAGTTTCAGAGGGCACATTCATGCCTGCAGTGCCTCTAGAATGCAGTGCTAAGATGCAGTACAGGCTCTAAAAATTCATGCCCCCAAAAGGGAAGGTACACCTCAAAGCTTCTCTCCTGACTTCTAAGTGGCTTGAAACAGCCACTGCCAAAGAGATGGGCGGCCTTGGAAATGAGAAGCTCCTGCCAGTGAAACACAGCACTGCTATCTAGGGTGCCGTCACTGATCATCGTGCAGTGTGCTAATGTAGCCTCTGAGGTTACAAAGGAAAAACACATCAAAATGCAGCTAGCTTATTGAGAAGAGTGCATGGCTCGTCTGTGATCACAGCCTGGCTACGAACTGGCAATCCCCACTCCCTTTCAGAAGAGACAGAGGTAGAAGGTGCAAGGATGCTGAAGAATTACCAGCACAAAAAGTGGTTTGCACTGGCAACCCAGTGGAGAACAGCAAGGAAATCCAAACATACCATCATCCCTGGTGCCATTTCATAACAGATCTGTGGATCAGCCTGTGAATTTGCAGAGCATTTCAAACTAACAGGCAGCAGGGATTCCCCATTTTCTTTTCACACAAAAACCCCCACTTGAAAGATTTGTGCAACCTAGTTTGCTTAAAGAAGAAAGCTTAACTTTTTTTCTCAGTGACAGCCAAATCGAGAGGAATTATTGCAACAGCTCAGATAACCTCCTGGCAGCTCTATCATGTGACAGGCCCAAAAGTAACTTCAAAGCTGCCAACCCAACTGCCTCCCTTTTGTCCTGCCAAGAACAAAACACAGCCTACAGAAGAGCTTGGCTCCTTGTAATCTGGCTTCTCAGATAGCATCCAAAGAGGACAAGAAGCAAGAAGCAATGAATAGCAAAGACTTTCCACATTATTTATTTCTTCTGTATTTCTGAAAACACATTTTTAGTTTCACGGGATACAAAGGTATCTTTCCTGTCAGTGCTATTACTCAAAATTTCTACCGCATTTCCCCCATTCATTATGTTCTCTATTTGTATTGTGAAGCTGGCAGGCTTGTCAATGTGCATCCCAGTTGTTTGTTGGTAATGACATTGCATCACAAATTAAGGAAATTAACTTAAAAAGGAGTGCATTTTGTTTACTTTTTTTTCCAGGTTAGCCATTCTATGTTCATAGAATCATAGAATCATAGAATTTGCTAAGGACAAAAATACTGGTTTTAGCATTCTGAGGGAAAACATGAAATATGGTTGTGTGTCTGATACAACCTCGGATGAGAGCATTTGCTCAAATTCAAATTTTCATTCTAAGCAATGTAAATAACCCAGATTCTAGAATGGTCCTTTGTGTTACCTGTGGGTTTCAGGAAAAAAAAAAAACAACAACAAACATATCAGTCATGCTAACAGCTGAACAAAATGTCATCTTGTCAGCATCTGACAGGTCCAGGTTTGCCCTTCAGAACCCTCAGGACCACTACAGAACACCTGAATGTTACCCTCTTGAAGAATGTCCCAGCCCTTGGACTTTCTGCCTTGGTGGTATCTTTTGGAAAAATTGTTCAACCTCTTCACATTACTTGGAGGATAAAAAAGGTCTAGTGGGTGCAATGAACACCAAATGGAAGATGGTATGCTTGGTTGGATAGGGGATCGTGTAGGAAAAACAATGAAACTGGAGAAAATGAAAAAACTTGGGTTTTGCTACTGATTTAGCTGTAAGCTTCTGCGGCCATCAGCACTTTAGCTCTAACGTTGGTATTGAACTTCTCTGCCTCTAACACCCTAACAACAAATATTTAGAAATGAGTAGATGCAGAAAATGAATTAAATTAAAAAAAAAAAAAAAAATCAATACGAAAAAACCAAAATACCTGGATTACTTTTTGACATACTGTACCACTTATGATGTAAAGAAGGATAATTAACATGGTGTTTAACAAATATGTGATCTCATTTTCATAGTTACCTGATGAGGGAGCCCTCGCCTTACATTTTCTAACAGAATCATAGAATTGTTTGAGTTGGAAGGGACCCTTAAAGGTCACCTAGTCCAACACCCCTGCAATGAGCCTAGGGCTTGATCAAGTTGCTTAAAGTCTCATCCAGCCTGACCTTGAGTGCCTCTAGGGATGGGGCACCCACCAGCTCTTTGGGCAACAATGCCAGTGCCTTACCACCCTTATTGTAAAAATCTTCTTCCTTATACTCAATAAAAATCTTCCTTTTTCCAATTTAAAACAATTTCCCCTTGTCCTATCACAACAAACCATACTAAAGAATCTGTCCCCTTGTATCTTCTAGCTACCCTTTAGATACTGAAAGGCTACTGTCAGGTCTCCCCGGAGCATTCATTTCTCCAGGCTGATCAGCTCCAGGTCTCTCAGCCTGTCCTTACAGGGAAGTGTTCCATCCCTTGGATCATTTCTGTGGCCCTCCTCTGGATACATTCCAACAGCTCCATGTCTCTCCTGTACTGAGGACTTCACATATGCAGTACTCCAGGTGAGGTCTCATCAGCACAGAGAAGAGGGACAGGATCACCTCTTGCTTTTCTGGGCACACTTCTTTTGATGCAGCCCAGGATGTGTTTGGCATTTTGGGCTAAAAGGGCATATTGCTGGCTCACGTCCAACTTGCAATCCAGTACTACCAAGTCCTTTTCAGCAGGGCTGTGATTTATTCTTCCACACCTCACTTTGTACTGATGGTGGGGGCTGCCATGACCTTGCACTTGGATTTGTTGAACTTCTAGATGTTCACCTGGGCCCACTGCTCAAGCCTGTCTAGATCTCTCTGGATGGCATCCTGTCCCTTGGGCATGTTGACTGCACCACACAACTTAGTGTCATCTGCAAACATGCTGAGGGTGCACTTGATCCCACTGTAGCTGTCACTGATGAAGATCTTTAACAAGAAGACCGCTGGTTCCAGCACTGTCCCTTGTGGGACACTACGTCACTCATCTCCATCTCATTGCTGAGCTGCTGACCACCACTCTCTGGGTATGATCTTGGAACCTCAGCCTACCAAATTTTTAAACAACATATTCTATCAGATAAATTCTTTATTTCAATCCCATATTAGAACGAAAATTGAGTTTATATCTTTCAATAAGACAGTCTCTTAGTACCTTCCTCTTGGCACAGACAGATCTCTGACCTGCTAACATTACTACTGAAGACTTTCAACAGAATTAGTTCAAGGTTATCATAGCATTTGATCACAAAGAGCAAGTGGTAGCTGCAAACTCAAGGGCAACTGCAGATGAGATTGGATTGACTTCTTTTAATTTTGGCACTACAGAATTTTCTCTCTGCTCGGTGTCTGGCTTAGACACTAATCTGTAGAATTTACTCTTTTATTTTCTGCTCCTCCACTGGCATCTCCTCTTAACTTCTGAAACAAAGGTGCTGTCAATAAACTCTCTTCCATAAATGTTCCAAGCATGGATCTCAAATTCTGCTATGAGCACATGTGTAAGAGGACTGCTCATATGAAGAAGTCTAATGCTACATTGCTACTTCTAACAATATGGGCTGACAATTTAAATTTACTTGAGAAATGTGGGAGAGGACATGTTTTTAGCCAAAGACACAAATCAAGTGCAATGTAGAGAAAAATAACTATATGCTTCACTTTCCCTTCTGCTTCTCTTACTTTCCTTTTATTTCCCTTTCCTCTTCCTGAATCACATTTCATTGCTGGATATGGAGACTTTAGATACAGTGTTTTATGACTTATCTTAAAATCTTTAAAAAGCCTTATATGAAGAATGAAAAGCTAAATCCCTTTCTCTGTCGTCTGTTTTTAGTCTACTATTTAGATCAAGAACATTTCATAAATGAAAACTATAAGGAGTTCGTATCTTTTATTTTCATCCTGGCAGTGTGAGTTTAAAAAATGTTTCCCAATGGCTGGTCACAACAGCTGATAGCATACTCTGAATCTTTTTTTCCTTAAAAATACACTGATTAAAAATCAGTAGTTTGATAATCACTTATTTCATCATCTGCCAAAGGTGAATACATGGTTCCTCTGCATAGGCATTATAATAGTGATTTGGATTCAAGCTTATCAATCCAAAATAGAAACAAACTACTTACTGAGACAGAGCTTGTGACTGATTCCCAGTTAGTTTCTGAGGCTGCATGCTGGAAATCATCCTAAAGGGGGAAAAAAAAAAAAACCCACAGGAAAAATCACATTAAGGCACTGTCCTAAATTAACTACAGAACATAAAGTCTCAGCATTCAACACGTCATCTCTTTGAATTCTATTCCATGAAAAAAGAATTGCCATATATAATTCCTAAACTCTTCAATGGCAAATGCTACTTTCATTCAGGTTTCTCCCTTCTCACTCTCTGTGAATAAGACCCTTGCAAGCTTGCTGAGGCAGGGCCAGGTATTATTATTACTTGTAATATGATACACATTTGTCTTCATAACAGGATCTAATCTGGCCAATACCATTACAAATATCTTCTAACTAGTATTAACCACTTCTGCATGTATACAATCAGAGTGCAGTGCTGTTTCCCAAACTGACCCATTATGGAAAGACTGTGGACAAAACCTGGGTACTTAGTTATGGTAAAAAGCAAAGTAAATTAATCCACTTGAAATGCAGTCCCAGTATGACTGTCCTGCTCTTGGTCTTTGTACTGAACAGGATTCGCTCGTCTATGCAAAGCTCTGAATGGCACTATGCCATTTAGACCAAGAAACATAGCCATTATACATTTACACTAGAGGGATCATATCACAACTCCTCTGGGCATTTATGATTAAGCTGAGCAAGGGAATAGGATTTATATCATCTAACTTTGAATAAAGCAAACATCTAAGATAGCCTTCTATCCATTTACAGTCAACTAAATCTAGCATTTTTAGGATGCAAATCATCTGATCTATTTTAGATACCTAATCTGGGATGACGTGAATTGGATTATAAAAAATGCTTTTTCCTCTCCACTGTCCACAAGGGCAGCCTGAGGTAACTAGCTTACATACAGATGTCAGTATTGTGTGTAGACATTGATCTCTGGTCAGCTGAATCCCAATTCACTCATCTGACTAGTGATGAGCACTCATTACTTAAATGATTGGCATGAACAGACAGGTAAGGAAAGTGGACTGAAGTGACAGCGTACAAAGATTTTCTTTTCTAATAATGGAATCCATCAAGAATTTAAAGAAGATGGATCAATGTCTGATTTCATTTTACAGTGACTCAGTCTCTGCTATGCATTTAAGTTGACAATTTAGACAGGAAAAATGGAAGACCGGCTATTCAGCTGGTCCAACCTAGACTCAACTCTGCATGGAACCATATATATATGCAAATATTTGTTATTTCTTATGAATTGAAAAGAGAAAAATTATCATATAATCTGTGAGTTCACAGTGCTCCTTTTCAACCCAGGTCATTCTATGATTCAATGATTCAGTGATTCAATGATTCAATGATTCTGTGATTCATCAATTAATTGCCTTCCTTGCCAAGAAAGAACAGAGTTGCTTTTAGACACAAATTTCACGTATCTGGTACCAAACTGTTTTTTGTTTGCTATAAAAAGAAATTAAAATGCCCTAAAAGACATACAATTGTTTATTCAATATTGTTACTCTTACTCTTCCTTATACCATTCCTTTCTTTTGATGAGGCAGCAGAACTATAGTGATTTATTTAGTACTTAAGATTAGTAGAAGTTAAGTAACCCCCATCTAACTATAGTGTCACCACATGATCACTGAAACTGCAGGGCTGTTAAAACATTAATAATTATAATGGACATTTTTTTCTGTGAATACAAAAGCAAAAGATTATTGGAAAATTATTCCATGCAGGCATTTTATAATGAGTAAGCAGATCAACAAATGTTATGATCAGATCATAAATAATTCAGGAGTGGTAGATTACCTTGTCCAAGTTTTCTATAAATCTGATTGCCCAGTTATTGACAAGCAATGCTCTGAAGTACATAGAAATGGATTTAAAAAGCTCGTGGATCCTCTGGTTGTAGTTGCCAGTTGCAAAACTTGGAAATCATTTCCTATCTGTCATTAACTTCCATTTATCATTTCCAGAAAAAAAGTGGCATTGAGTCCTAAAGCATTATTTCAAAACAGGAGCAATCTGCCTCATTGAATGCCTGGAGACAAGACTGCAGACAAGGAATAATTTTGTGTTTGAAGTGATGGCCCCCTTGTGCTATCTAATTGTATACATAAAAGCTGTTTCTTTAGTCTATGATTCTTCGAGATGGCTGATGACATGGAGCCCCTCCAACACCCTGAGATAGGCAGGTGGTACACATGCCTCTTGGATCCCAAACCTGATGACTGTGTATTTTGATTCTGTGATTATATTTCATCTGCATAAACTATTCACAACTAGATGGCTTTGTTCCACCATCGCTTATGGCAGCTGCAGTCATTTTTGGCTTCTTAGAGCTTTCAACTTCTACAGTTTGAAACTTATTATTATCTATGTCTTCTGCTTGCTTGTTATTTCAAATAATGATATCAATGTGGTTCTCATCATTGCAAAACTCTCTCTTTCTTTTCTCACCTAAAAAACCTGAAGACATATCTATTTTCACTGCTATCTATTCAGTTCATACTACCTTGCTTATGTGAATTTGCATATGATCACTTGGCTTTGTTCTCTTCATGACTTAAAATGCCATTAAAACCTTCAGTTAAAACATTAAAAAAGTACATGTTTTTAAACTAAATGCTGAAAAAACAGAGCGGCAATAATTTGGCTACAGCACCCTGACAACAACACTTTTGTTCACATGTGCACCATGGTAATACAAAACTATATGAGACTTTACTAAAGCATTGCAATTACTGTTCTACAAGCAGCAAAACTACAGGGCTTTTATTTATCTTCTTACAGAAGTTACTTTTACTGCAGAAAACTGCCTTTCATACCTCAACTTCCAAAACTACACCTCAGGAAGCTAAACCCTGAATGTGTCCTCTGAGTTATACATGTATGGATGTTGACATATTGTCCATGGATCCATTTCAGACAAAGATAAGCTACTCTCTTCCTCACAGACTGACTCTGTTTGCTCTCTGTATTTGAGCACTGATCTCAGTAAGTGAGATGGTGACACAGGCAATATTTTGCTTCTCTACAGGCTTTCACAAGTGGAGACTGTGAGGCCTAATTCAAGGATCAAGGATACACGAGACTGCAGACAGATACCACTGGCTGCTCAGGAGCTGGGAGGCTCAAGCCATGGGGTTTGCAGGGTCATTGGGAAGAGGAGACATGAGGAAGATGCCAGGGTTGAGGCTGGGCCTGTTGAAAGCCTGCCAGCCTGCAAAGCATGTTGTCCACGACTCCCTTTGCTGTACCATGAATCCAACAATGTGAGTCTTCAGAGCCATGTTGAATTGCCATCCGGTCCTCACGTTACAAACAAGAAGCGCTTTCTGGTATTTCTGCAGTCCTTGATTTTTTACACGCTTTATCACTGTAATCCTGTGTCATGCTGGTGCTGGAGGTCTTTCCAGGTGTGGAGCCTGGGACAGCCCACAACCACAACAGCACAGGCACAGCACTGGCAGCTCTCCCTCCAGATGAAGGAAGCAGCCTCGTATCTCTGCAAACTCATCGCTTGTCACAATCTGCAGGCCCTGGTGCTAACTAGATTTAGTGAAAGTTTGTTTCTTTAAGGAAATTAAGGAGCTAAGGAAACTAGGGAATGATGAGTGTAACAAAGGAAAAAATAGCATAGAGAAGCTGAAAGTGCTGCTACAGCTCTACGCATGGTTCATTCGTAGTATTTAGATGTCAGCTTCAAACCACTTAACAGAGAAGCTGCAGAGAAGTAATAGTGTTAAGGGATATGCTCAGCCTCGAAGCAGGTTCTGCAAAGCCAAATGAGAGCAAAAGGGAGCATGTTCAAAGAGTTCCAGAGCAGAAACAGAAAGAAATGAGGATTTTTCACTAAAGCATAAAACTGAATGGCTGGGATAGTGGCAGCCCTGTAAGAAAAAATAGGGTAAATTAAGAAGAGATGAAATTATCCGAACATTGAAATTAATAAGAGAAAAATTGATGGCAGCTATTTTAAAACAATACTCAAAATGCATTTATTGCACAGCATTATCAGAGCTGTGAGCAGACAGGTAGCCGATATGCAGATAAGCTTGCAATATATAACTAATATATAGCTATATCAAACTATTCTAACTGCAATAAGGTCTTTCTTTTTTTCTGTTTTTGGCCCCTACAACAAGCATTAATGTCATTGTTTTCTCTGAACACTGAAATTTACTGTTATTAGATTTTATATAGAAAGCAACAGATGTTTCTAGCAAATAAAACACAAACTCAGTATATACTGTGTACCAGCAGCACTGTTAGGACAAGTAATAGGCAAAATAAAAGTCATAGTTCCATTAAAGATAATGCTGTTACAAATACTCAGGTTTTTACACCTCCACTGATTCATAATAATTTCCCATGCAGTGTTTCAGTATAGTCCAATTTCTATTCTTAAAGAGAAATAAAAAGATAAAGATGTACACTTTGAAATACCGCTACTGTGTTTTCAATCCATCACATTATGAGGTTTAAACTTTCCTATCAGAATGATATTTATTACTACTTTTCCTAAAGATGCTAAAGGATACCTCTTTTCTGGCAGGAAACCACTCACTGGGGATGGATAGGCTACATCTTTCTTATCTACAGTGATGGCCAAATCACCACTCCATAATATTCTGGTGTCTGGGTTTCAAAATAAAAGATGTTGAATTTGGAAAGAGTAAAACAATGATTATTTGTAATGTAGAAATCATGCTGTACAAAAGAACATAGTGGAGGATAGTGCCTTGCAAGTTTAGAGCTCACCTAACCTGGTCTCTCCAGATAACAACCTGTAGTTAGCTCCAAGAGGCCATTACCAATGATAACATGGTCTTTTCTTTAGCAATGCAAGACTTTAACAAAATCAGGAAGCTGTAATCAGAGCTGTAACTCAAAGGGCTGAAGGTCCCCTACAAGGACAGGATGAGAGCTGGGGGTCCTCAGCCTGGAGAAAGCTGTAAGAAGACTTTATAGCGGCCTTCCAGTACTTGAAGGGGGCCTACAGAAAAGCTGGGGAGGAACTTTTTATAAGGGCATGTAGTAATAGGAT